GTCCATGTGTATAGTCGTCTCTTATGCTGTCAAAAGAAGGTATTTGAAATAAACAAATCATTTATTTTGCAGAAATCTATCATTAGTTCTCCAGCATCATTTCTATCACCAAGTCCAAATTTTCCAACTACTGGTCCTTCCTCTTTGTTCCCAACCTTTGCATTCCAATAACCATTAATGAGCAATACATCTTGATTGCAAGTTTGATCGATTTCAGATTGAAGAAGTTGATAGGATTTTTCTATTTCATCCTCTCCAGTAATTGGTCCCTCTTGACAATATGTCCGAAGTATGAGAGACAAAGTGTGGCCATCCTGGCTTCCAACGAGTACGCTGACTGTACTTCTTCCAACACAGATCTATTTGTTCTTTTGGCAGTCCATGATATTTTCGACATTCTTTTCCAACCCCATAGCTCAAATGCATCAATTCTTCCACAGTCTTCCTTATTCACTATATAACTTTTGCATGCATAATGAGGTTATTGAAAATACCATGGATTGGGGCAGGCATACCTTAGTTTCAAACTGACATCTTTGTTCTTTGACTCTTTAAAAAGGTCTTGTGCAGCAGAAATGCCAATTGGAATACGTTGTTTGATTTCTTGACTGCTCCTTCCATGAGTGTTGATGGTTGATCTGAGCAAAATTAAGTCTTTGACAACTTCAATCTTTTCTCCATTTATATGTTTGTTGTTTATTGGTCCAGTGGTGAGGATTTTTGTTTTCTTTACATTAAGGTGCAACCCATACCGAAGGCTGTGGTCTTTGATCTTCATCAGTAACTATTTTAAATCCTTTTCGCTTTCAGCAAGCAAGGTTGTATCATCTGCATATCACAGGTTGTTAATGAGTCTTCCTCCAATCCTGATGCCAAGTGTTTCTTCATGTAACCCAGCTTCTCGGATTCTGTGCTCAGCATACAGACTGAATAACTATGGGGAAAGAATACAACCCTGGCTCAAACCTTTCCTAATCTTAAACCATTCAGTGTTTCCATGTTCTGTTCGAACAACTACCGCTTGGTCTATGTACAGGTTCTTCATGAACAATTAAGTGTTCCGGAATACTCATTCTCTGCAATGCTGTCCATAGCTTGTTATAATCCACACTATTGAAAGCCTTTGTGTAGTCAATAAAGCACAGGTAAACATCTTTCTGATATTCTCTGCTTTCAGCCAAGATCCATCTGATGTTAGTAATGATATCTCTCATTCCATGTCCTGTTCTGAATCTGGCTTGAACCTCTGGAAGTTCTCTGTCAATGTATCATAGTGGTCGTTTTTGTATTACCTTTAGTAAAACTTTCTTCCCATAGGATATCAGTAATATTGTCCATTGATGTCCACATTCTGTTGGGTCACCTAAATGGATACATGCATTTCCGTAATAAGCTCATTTCAGTTGACTTGATTTGGGATATTCTATAAAATGCCCTCAAGAAAACCAAAGACACTTTTCACAACATCCCTGAAGTAGAAACAACTGAAATGTCTCATCAGCAGATGAATGAGTCCTGGTGTGGTGCTATAGGATAAGCACTGGACTACTAACCACAGGATGGTGGTTCAAGCCCACCAACTGCTCCTCAGAAACCCTATACAGGGTTGTTATGACTCAGAACTGACACGACGGCACTTAACAACAACACAATATACACACAAAGGAATACCATGTAACTCTAGGAGAAATGAAGTCCTGATGAAAACCATAATGTGGTTGAGTTTGAAAACATCATGCTGAGCAAAATTAATCAGTCACAGAAGGACAAATATTGTATGATGTCACTTATATGAAATAAGCAAATATATAGAAACCACAGATTATTGAGTGGTTATCAGGGGTGAAAGGAAGGAGGAAAGGAGCGTTAAGTTTGTGTTAATGGTGGTGGAATGATTTGGAAAAGGATATTGAGAACGGCAGCATACCTTGAAGGATATCATCACTGTCACTGAGTTATACATACAGAAATTGCTGAGATGGCATATGTTTTTCTATGTAAAATTTTTATTTAACGTTTTTATCATGGATTGAGTGAAAGTTTACAGGGCATATCATCAACATTCAACAAATCACACACCTTGTTTCATTACAATGATTATAATCCACTCCATGTACCATCAGTATTTCTCTCTATCCATTTTAGCTTTCTAAAAAATAAACAAACAAAAACCACTCAGGCATATATAATAATTTACATCTCCAAAGGGTACGTTCTGCAAGTCAGCTCCTGGCCACCAGTTTAGTCCCTCTCTTCTTAGTCCATGAATCTAGAGTTCTCAGCCGCTCCCCCTCTCCATGCCCCCATCTCTGCCTCCATCTCTGGCACTGCTGCTTCTCTGGATAAGGTTCCGCATTCTGCTTAATGGTGCTTAATGTGCTCCTCTCTTAATGGTCCTAGGGTCCTCTGTTTCTGGAATGTAAGATTAACCACTCCCCCCTTTTTTTTTTGTTACAAAACGTCTACCTTTACAATTGTGACAGCCGCGATTAGTCATGATAACAATTATTCACTATTGAATCTTATGATCTTATCCCCATGAGATGGCATATGTTTTGACATGCATTTTTCACTACAATTAGAAAAAGAAAAATAAGACAATAAGACTACCACCCTTATGATTACGGCATAGGCATCTGGGAAATGTCTGTTCAGTGAGGCTCAGGCCCTGGGCACCTGCCTTCTCCATGTGTGCCTCCCTCGGTGCTGGTGTTTATGGATATTTGGGTGCAGGTCACTCCCACAGTTATGGAATGCGGGTGGGGCCTCTGACTGAGTCCTGCCATTGCACACATTTGGCTTAACTGGCCCTCCTGTCCACTTCAGCTGTGGAGGCAGTCTGGAGAGCCTGGCTCCTGGCCTTCCCAGGATGCTCTGACGCCTTCCGGAGGTCAGCAGCCCACGGCAGGCCCCCAGATGACCTTGGACTTCCCAGCTTTCCTGGAAATTCCTTGCTTAACATCCTATGTGGCAATCCAACCTCTTGGCCTCACTTAGTCCTGCCAGTAACTGCCAAGTTCCCAAGACCCAACCTCTAACTGAATCTTCCTGAAATGAAAAGCTGCGGGTCGTTCTTTGACAGAGAGAGCCGTTCTTTTCCCTGTCTCTGGGTGAGGGAGAGGCGGGTATGGGGAAACCTGTCTTCATGAGCTGGAGGTCACCCATGTTCTGCGGAGAAAAAGGGCCAGGATGGGAGCAAATGTCTCTCCAGTGTCTGGGAGCCGTGGGGGCAGCCTCACAAAGTTGCTGCAGGGTGAGGGTCACATACTGCACATAATGGTAAAGGGGTGGGTTGGAAGGCAGAAAGTAGCTTCGTTGAGTGCAGTGAGGGACGGCTGGCCCATGTTGGCTCATTTAAACACCTCACAGTCGCTGACAGAGACGACTTATTATTCTCTCTTAAATACAGCGGAAACAAAGACCCTATCTTTTAAAAGCGCACTGGTACAAGCAACCATTTACTGAACAATCCGGGGTGGGGAACTCCCATTGCCCCATTGTACAGATGAAGAAACTGAATCTCTTGTTAGTGGGAAGGTCTCAGAGATTCGAAGCTGTCTGGTGGGAGAGTGGCAAGAGAGTGCTCTCCACTACTTCTGGGTACTGACAATTAGTGGACCAAGCCCCTCATTCTACAGATGGCACAAAGTGAGTCCTTGGGGAAGGGTCCCAGAATTGGTGCCACCCATCTCCGGGACTTCCTTCATGACACAAACACTTCTCTCGGTCACTCGGACCTCAGTTGTGTATCAGAGGCAGCGGGGTCGACCCTACGATGAATAACAGAAATGCTGTGCATGTCAGGTCGGGCTGGAGGCTGGGTACGCGACAGACCGGACGCTGGCTCGCCCACAACTCTAGGAATCCTCCCGGAGGCCCCGCCTCCTCCCTGTGTGATTCCGAGTAGGGGGCGTGGCCTCGCCTGCGCCTCCGCGTCGGCTGCGCACTAGCTGCGCGTCCCTCAGTGCCGGGTCCCAGAGCGCGCACTTGCGCACCCCTCCCGCGAGGTTCCTCTGCGTGCGGGCGCCGGGCCCCCAGGACCTGAGGCCTCCCCGCCTCGGGGTGGGAGCGGGAACGGGAACCAGGGGCCGGGAATAGGCGGTGGCTTCCGGGCTGGCCTTAATCTCGCGCCTCCCCTCTCACCGCCCCCCGCTCAGCTGGCAAAACCTGAGAGGCTGTAGGCTCCTGGTCGCGTGACGCGCTCACCTGTCTGGGGCCCCAGTTCGGCCCTACTCGCCCGCCCGCCCTAAGGAGGAGAATGTGTGGGGCCCCATTTGCAGGCTTGCGCCAGGGAGCCCCCTCTCTGCCGGGTCCGCTCCGGGCCTGAACCCTCCGGCAGTGCCCGTGCCTCCCCTGCCACTTCCCGGAGACGCGCCTGGCCCAGCGAGATGAAGTAAGCTGCACCTCCCTGCTTTCTCTCCTGCGCCGTTTGCCAAAGACGCTATTTATAACTGGACAGCGTCAGCGTGCGCCTGGCGGAACCAGAGGTCGGGCGGTCAGGCGGCCCGAGGCTGTTCACTCATGGTAGCTAAAATCCTTGAGCATTTTGTTCCAAGGAGTCATCCCAGCCAGCCAGCCAGCCACCTGTTACCTCCGTTCAGAACCCACTGGGGTCAGATCCTGCACTTTACCCCGCTTCCAGCCCTCCTTCCGCAAAATGAATTAATGTTCACTTCCTCCTCTGCAGATCTCCTGGGCGCTCAGTTCTACTTGGTGGCGGTTCTGTAGGAGTTAGCCAGACCCTTCGAGGGTAGTACTCCTCTAGGCTTTCTGGAATGAAATTCTCGGAGTGTAGGAACTCAGCGCTTTTTCCTGGCATCTACGCAAATTCATCTTTGCCCTCAACCACCCAGGTTTCAATTAGCGTGTCCAGAGCACTGAGAGGTTTAACAGAGATGAACTTTTTGAGATCGATGGTCATCAGTTCATACCAGCTTGAATGTTTAGCAGGGAATGAGAACTTCTGGAAAGGACCTAGCCTAAGACCCTTACCCAGCACACCAGGCTTGTGAGTTGCAGAGGGAGGAAACTGAAGTGAAATGGACATGCGTTCTTTGCAGCAATTGGATAGCTGATAGGATTCTTGAGTTTCTGAGGCTAAATCTTTTGGTACCGGAGATAAAATGTTCAGTGTTTGTTATAATCAGAGTTTATTTTTCAGGCAACTTTTAATGTAACGGTTTGTTTCTTTGAAGTAAATGGCTACTCACAAACTGCAACCGTATTAATTTAGGTTTTTAAATTCAAAAACTGGAGTTTACTTAAGTCACTGTTAACTATCAGATGATGGTGGTATTCAGTGCCATTGAGTTGAGTCCTTCTACTCATAGCTACTTCGTGTGACAGCGTAGGCCACCTAGGTTTTTCTAGGCGGTAGGCTGTAATCCTTGAGTCCTGGTGTGGTGCTGTGGGTTAATGCGCAGGACTGCAAGGTCTCTTTGAACCACAAAATCCACGGTTCAAGCTCACCAGCCACTCCTTAGAAACCCTATACAGGGATGTTATGAGTCGGTACCAGCTCGATGGCACTTAACCACAGGCTGTATTACCAATTACCAGACTTTTTCCCCTGCAGAACTGCTGGCTGGGTGGAACTGCCAAACTTTCAGTTAAAATTAAATCTGTGGGCAAACAAAGAGAAAAGCAAGAGGCACCTTTGATCATTTGCGACCTACTGGCTTCTCCCTTATGTATAGCATGTGAACAAGGCATGGTGTTGCTACTTCTTGTCACACCTCACTGTGGATTCTGTCAGACCCTACTTAACCCAGGGATCCTGAGAGCAGAAAGTTAGACTGTTTATTGCTCTGAGTTGGGATCCAGGTGGCCATTCATCTGGGAGATTTCTTAACACCACATCCTCCCAAAGATCTTCCTGACTAAGGTCTGGTGGCTCTTTTTTTTTTTTTTGATTAGACATTAAAATGAAGTAGATCACCCCATTTTACAGTTGGAGAAAAAGAGGCTGTGCTGTTACGTGAAGGGTACAGGATTTACATAAACCCCTCCAGAGTTATTATTAACCAGCAAGAATGCTAGCTTTATATCCCTTTAATTTTTCCTCAGTATGATTCAGAGATCACAATGAGCTTTTTTATGGATGTGGTTGATTCATTTTACAGCAACTCTAAAAAGTTAGCATCATTGATGATACTATTGGTTAATGATGACAGATGCTGACATTTCTTCATGTCAAGACCCTTACCGGATTTTTCTCACTTTGTACTTTGAATGGACTAGTTTTCCCCATCTGTGGCTAGGGCACAGAGAAGTACAATCATTGGTCTTAAGATCACACACAAGAGCTTTTGGCGTGCTATGGGTTAAGCGTTGGGCTGCTAACTACAAGGTTAGTGGTTTAAGCCCACTAGCTGCTCTGTGGGAAAAAGATGAGACTGTATCTGTAATGATGTACAGTCTCAGATACCTGGAGTAACAGTTCTGCTCTGCCCAATAGGAATAGGGTTGCTATGAGCTGGCATCAACTCTATGGCAGTGGGTAGGGTCACATAGCTACTAAGTAGCAAAGCAGAGTTCTGAATTCAAAGTTCAAGAACTTAACCAGGTCTCCAGAAACATGCCCCCAGGGCTTTGTAGGTTTTAACTGTTACCCAGCCTAAACCTTGCTGTCTTCAAGACTGTTGGATAAAGTGGATTTGTGAGGCTAAGGCCACTTATAGCAGTGCAAGTGTTCAGAGCAACTTGACCTCAGGATGCTTGGGTAGTTTACTTGACACAGATGGTCTATCTGTTTAAACTGCTGTTATTTCAGGTCTCTCAGAATCCACACTAAGACATTGTTTTAAACTTTGCCGTTTGGAGTCGTAGTCACATATTTTACAAGCAGTAGAATGAGTCTGTTTCTCCAAGCATGAGCTCTGGAGGCAAACTGCTGTATTCAAATCCTGTCAGCTTTGAGCTGGCTGACCTTCAGATATTTTACCTGTCTGTGCCTTAGTTTCTGTTCTACTCTCTAACAATGTGGCAACAATAGTACCTACCTTCTAGGGTTGTGGTAAGAATTAAAATGGCATGATACATACCAAGTTATTAGCATTTGGCATATAAATATAAATACCTCTTTGATTGTTAATAGTTTTGTTACATTTAGTAAGTTGCTGTTGATGTATGATGTGTCACAGTGCTTGAAGTTAGCATATGAGAGATTTATTCCTTTGTGCTATATTGTTCCGGTACAGATACCTCCAGAAGCTGTCGGTCATGTATGAATGGGATTTATTTGTTCACTCAGCAAGTATTTATAAAGCACCTTCTATGTACCAGGCTTTAGATAATGGAAATATGGCAGTGAATGAAACAGACAAAAATCCCTGCCCTTATTGCCACTTAACATTCTTTAAGGAAGAGGTTGACAGACAAATATTCATATCATATAGTATATTAGAAAATGATACATGCTACCCAAAGAAAACTTTTTTTCTGTTGAGTCAGTTCCGTTTCATGGAACCCCATGTTTTACAGAGTAGAACGTCTCCATAAGGTTTTCTTGGCTAAAGTACTTATAGAAGCAGATTGTCAGACCCTCCACTGTGCCACTGGGCAGATTCAAACCACCAATCATTAGGTTAATAACCGAGAGCGATCATTTGTGTTACCCAGAGACCTGTGCAATATACAGAGTCCTAGTGTGGCACTGGGTTGCTAACCTCAAGATTAGTTCAAATCTATCAATAGCTCCTTGGAAACCCTATATAACAACAACAACAACAAGGGCCTATGTGGAAGGAGCCCTGGTGGCACAGTGTTTAAGCACTGGGTTACTAACGGAAAGATAGGTGATCTGAGCAGGAGAAAGAGGTGGCAGTCAGTTTCCCTAAAGAAAACTTGGAAACACTATGGGGCAAATGGGTCTGGGTTTTTAGGGCCTAGGTGGAGTGTTGGAAAACAGTAAGGAATGTTTGTGGTGCTGTAGGCTAATGCACTGGATTTCAAAGTAGGTTTGAACCATAAGGTTGGTGGTTCAAGCTCACCAGCCACTCTATACAGGGTCGCTGTGGGTCAGAACTGACTCAGTGGTACTTAGCAACAATAATAGATAGATTTTGAAGATGGAAGCTATAGGATTTGCTAATGCATCAGATGCCCCGTGGAAGGATAGAGTTGGCATTCATTGAGGATAGGGAAAACTGTTTGAAGCAGATTGGGAGATAAGTCAGTTCACTTTTGAACATGTTAAGCCTTGTATAGAAGGTGCCTTAGTGGTGCTATAGGATAAGCACTAGACTGCTAACCATAAGGTAGGCAGTTTAAACCCACCAGCCGCTCTGAGAAAGATGAGGCTTTGTGCTCCTGTAAAGATTTACAACCTCAGGAACACTTTACAGGGCTGCTATGAGTTGGAATTGACTTGATGGCATTGGGTTTCATTTTTATTTTGGTCTTACAGATATCCAGGCAATGCCATCAGTGTAGACAGTGGGTTATAGAAGTCTGGAGTTTAAGGCGAGAAATCCAGACTGCAGATAAAGATTTAAGAATATCAATAGTTATATGCTAATAAATATAATATATAGGACCTTATATTGTTGTTGTTGTTATTGTTAGGTGCCATCGAGTCAGTACTGACCCATAGCGACCTGATGCACAGCAGAACAAAACACTGCCCAATCCTGGGCCAACATCACTATTGTTGCAACGCTTGAGTCCATCGATGCTGCCACTTAGCCAGTCCATCTCATTAGGGGTCTTCCTCTTTTTCTCTGACCCTCTACCTTACCAAACATGATATCCTTCTCCAGTGACTGGTCCCTGTTGACAATATGTCTGAAGCATGAGAGACAAAGTTTGGGTATCCTGGCCTCCAAGGAGCACTCTGGCTGCACTTCTTCCAAAACGGATCTATTGGTTCTTTTGGCAGTCCATGGCACTTTCAATATTCTTCTCCAACACCATAACTCAGAAGCATCAGTTCTCCTGTGATCTTCCTTATTTACTGTCCAGCTTTCAAATGCTTATGAGGTTATTGAAAATACCATGGCTTGGGTCAGGTGTACCTTAGTCCTCAAGCTGACATCTTTGCTCTTCAACACTTTAAAAAGGTCTAGTGCAGCAGATTTGCCTAATGTAATACTTCGTCTGATCTCTTGACTGCTGCTTCTGTGAGTGAGTGTTGATAGTTGATCCAAGAAGAATGAAGTCCTTGACAACTTCAGTCTTTTCTCTGTTGATAAGAATGTTGT